ACTCCAAACTTAACCTCTGCAGCGGTGAGCAGCAGCCTTGGTCAATATTTGTGGATTTTTATCATGTTTTTTTTCATTGTCTTGTTTGCACGTTTCTCTTTCCCTGAGTTCACGCTCTGATTGGCTACTGCTCATCGCTGCTCCTACTGCTTGTTGTAGAAGTGTTCACACTACAAGATCTACCTCTAAGAATTTGCTTGAAAATCAGGATGTCTATGGCAGACTGAGAAAATCACATTGAACCGCTCACACTACATAAGCACTCCTCACAGGCATGTGCAGCATTTTGTAGCCGAGTTGAGTGGTTTGTCACCAATCCCAAAAAAGTGTCTGCCACTGGAAACTTTGTGTACATTACATGCTTCTTTTGAATTTTTGTACTATTACATTACCCATTATATTACCATTAGATTCACAAAAACGTCAGACATCATTACACAGCATACATGCTTAGCACACACGCACACTCAGACACACAACGCATAAAGATCTGTGGTCCGTAAATATATTTAGGTGTATACAGTATCTATGGGTGTATGTATATCGAAAGCTCTGTAATTAAATATGTATTAAATGTTTTTAAATATTTCTTGTAATGAACTGCAAATGTTCCTGAAATGCAAAACAAATCTCTGCAAATTTACATTGTGTTCAGGTGTTCTTGCTATAACTCTTAAATTACTAAACAAACAATGTAATGTATTGTAATACTGTAAACAGTAATTCAAAACATTTACATTTGATTTGCCTTATAGAGCAAGATTATGATTGCGCCCTGCAAGAGAATTTGGGTATAAATGGGTTAAACGTTCAGGTGCTATGAGACATCATTATTACAGAACATAACAAGCACCTAACTAGTTTGTACTACCATATTCAAACAGATTCTAGAGGGACTGTAAAACTCCAACAAAGTAAGAAAAGCTTAAATGCCTGTTTCAGGCTTTAATTGGTAATGTTTAAGGTAGAGCATGCTAAAACACATGAATGGACCACAAGCTTGACACTAACATTACATAGGAATTTCCACTGACAGGGTGATAAAAGTTTGCATAATGCTTCCAATAAAAATTTCATGAAACAAAAATGCACTTAAAAGCTAATTTAAAGCCTTTATAGATAAAACACTACTACTTTTAAAGTGGGTATAGATGGCTAGCACATTCATGATCATACGAGTATGTTTTACAGAACTTAAGGGCCAGATTCATAAAATGCTCTAACAGATTTAGTGTCACATTAAGAGTAAACAGCTTGGCGGTAACATGTTTGCTTATTCATAATTGAGGATCATTGACATGTTTTGCCATGTAATGTGAGAGGTGGCTGCAGGTATACTTCATTTAAATAAATAAGGACCAACAGACCTCTTCTCACAGGTACCCTACTGTCCAGATCACCCCTTTATACACCCAACAGAACTCATAACATTCAAAGTGCAATAGGCACAATAGGCAATAATTTGCCTATAAACACATCCTCCCAAATCACTGAGTTAGCGAAAAATATCACAGATGAAGCAGACAGCACAGGGCAGACCTGCTCCACAAATACTCTGGAGCAGGGCTTGCTCCAGGCTTGCTAAGATTAGACAGCAAGGCAAATTACAAGCCGGCTGGCCAAGGGAGAGCTCCAGCGGGGGAGGGAACAGGTCTGTGGTTTGTCGGGTCAGTGGCAAGCACTGCAATAGTTACAGGAGTGGTGCGTGCAGCCCACTGCACATTAGATCTGTACAATATAGTGCTTGTTAAAGGGGATTTCCATAGATTTTTCAAAATATCTGAATAATTCAGTCTTGTAAATAAAGATGTAAATTAAGTCATTCACAGCAATTTAAATTCCACTCTAGAGAAACTTTGAGTCAGAATTATTCACAGTGGTGGTGACAGGCACCAGATGTCCAAAGAGTTTTAAGGCTCTAAAAGCTACCTCACAGACAGTTATTACAAGAATTGGTTACAAATATGTTCCCTGATGCCTTAAACATTATTTGTGGTAAACTGCCAAACAGTTTATTGTCCAAATCGTTAACTGGTTGGCTAGATGGTCTGCACTATATATACCGTATTGCATCTGTAGTCTTCTACAAACAAATGCCACAATTCTCTGTAAAGCTAACTCAGATACATTTTCTAAACACACATGTATTGGCATCTGCAAATTACATCTGCAAGGCAAATTACAAGCTGGCTAATTAACCAATCATTACTAACCAGTATCAGAAATGTGGAGACAGTCTTGTGCTGTGAGACAAGACTGAAATAAAAAGGTCTTAAGACATTAAAGATTTATCAGCTTAGACGCTGACATTGTAGGAGGAACGAGTTCAAGCTAGCACTGTTTTTTAAAGCATAGCCCAAGAAAATAAAACTACATGACAATTTGTTCAGTACTCTGCCATCATCATGTTTGTGTGATCATCCACTAATGCGAATAAACATTTCTATTCTTCTCTGTGTTGTTTATGGTTCTTCAATCATAGAAAATTTGTGGGTCAGTTTGGGATGTTTTCCCACAGATGTTGAGCTTCAAAACCCAGCTCCATCTTGGAAACAGATGTTTCAAAACGTGACACCAAGCTGGAGAAGCAACACACACACACACACACACGACTTGCACAAGTCTTTCGTTTGTGTTACCGTCTGCAGGAACGAGACCATTACAAAGCCTTCTTATGGCTGCTGAATCATGAGCGAGAGTCTGAGGGAAGACCTCTAAACTGACACGCTGGTGCAGGCTTAGAGCTCCTCTATTTTTTTTCTGCGTTTAAGATGTTACGATTTAACTACGCAATACTGCAGAAAAAAAAAAGAATACAATACAAAGCCGAAACTACTGTTTGTTCATCATCTAAATGCTGGAAAGATTACATTTCTATTCAGCTGTCTCCTGATTTAGTACAGTGGTGCTACCCCAACCCAGGGCATTATCACACTCTCGTTTTTGATCTCTGGAAGGAGGGAAGAATGACGGCTAGCCATCCACACTTCAGTGTGAGCTCCAACCCATGAGAAAAGCCCCGCTCCCCCATCCCACCTAAATCCAGCAACCCCCTTACCTTCCCTGCAATGGAAAATGACCCACGTACATTCAACTTCAGTCCAGATAATTAGGCATAATGAAACTACTTGGTTTCACATCCTCATTGTGCATACTTTGGATGTCTTCCCTGCAAATTGTTTTGTCTGAACTACAAGAACGTTTTAAATTAAAAGCCATATGGCTACTCAACACTGCCCAAGGATTGAAACCTAGTCCTAAAGGCCTAAGCGGCTGCCCTATGACAGGCACCAAAGCAAGCCTTCAAATAGTTTCCCTGTCCCAAATGCAGTTAGGCCTGTAAAGTCTGAAATTTTAGCTAATGACTGTCACAAAAATAATTGTGATTAAACAATTAATTGTCTTTTTTTGTTCGTTGTATGCAACTATTTAAGCACAAGCCTAAAGAGGCCAAATTGGCTGGTTAGCTATCTTGTTCCCCATCTCCCAGCTGAAGACAGAAAAATCTGAAGCTCAAATAAACAAACATTACTTACCATGGCCCTCTAAGATTTCATAGCACCAATAACAAGTTAAAAAGTTTTGTTTTTTAAGACCTTTGACGTGTCTCAGTAGATGCATTTTCTGCTTTATTTTATTTACATGCATTTGCCTCAACACAGTGGACGATCACAGACATTTCACATGTAAACATATGACTGTGAAAGCTAAAAGTAGTGGGAAATAACTGCGGTAAGCTTAAATATTTGCAGTAAGTTTAAATATTTGCGGTAAGTTAAAATAATTGTGATCAGGTGATTACGTACTAATTGTGACAGACCTGAAAATGTTTGTTGTTGCCAGTTAGCCTGTTTAGTTTTGCACTGGAGCCATGAGGTTAATGTAGCTAGCAAGCAATGGAAGCTTATGGATGAAATTCAGACCTTGAGATGGCTTCTACTACACATTTACTACTATTTAGCTATGAGGTACTTTTGTCCATTCTTAACAAAATATCATACCATGTCAGAAACAACATAAGCAAGTGTATGTGAGATTACTTGACATGTTGATGGACTACTGTACGACAACATTTGGGCTAAGTGGAAAATTCAGAAATCGCTTTCTCGCCAAATTATTGCTTTAAAAGACACATAGCTACTCACAACACTGCACAGGGACCGAAACACAGTCTTAATGCCCTAAACTACTGCCCTTATGACAGGCGCGTGCCCAAGCCGTCGTTGAAACATTTAAAAATGAGTTCTCTCTCTCCCCACCCCACTTACTTTTCTTGAGCCATTTTTCTAGAGCATTCTCCCAGTTGGCAGGCTCAAGTAGGCTATGCCCTGAACATACAGTAAGCATGGCAGCTAAAGGATCTCTGTGGCATACAGCCACAGCAGGACCAGAGCTCAGAGACTTCAGAGTGTGACTCGGGGGCAAGCGCCTAAAGCAGCCTTAAAGAAGAAGGGATTTAAAGACCAAAGCCATGTGGCAGCTGTCACTCGCCACAAACAGCATGCAAACAGGGATGCTGAGGAAGATGAACATTCTCTCTTTCTTACAGTCCAGCCACAAGGGTGACTTGTTTGCTTATTCATGGATAGGGACACCCATCTGATTGACAATAGTCCAGATTTTACTGATTTATATCCAGTCCCTGTTCAGAACTGGGTGTAAATCAGGAAAATTGGCAAAACAATACAGAGCTAGTGGGGTGTATTAATATACCAAATAAGCAGCATTGATAGAAGTATCTTATAGCTAATGTGGTCTACAAGTAAACATGTAGTTTGTAATTTGACAAAGCATATAAATGTACAATTATGCTTATTCACTTATTTCACAAACATGAAAACCTAGGTACTGATGAACTGTGATGTAAATGGATCTATTATTGGTGACATCTCCTTATTCACAAAGCATTAGACAGTTCTGTTTTAGCTCAGTATCACAGGCCTTCAAGAACTTTGGCTCTGGATGAAAGTGAAGGATGGACTGAAGCCCAAGCCACTCACCTCGAGATCGAAGAACTCCTGAGCATCGTCCAGGCCTTGGACACGGATCTGCAGGGCCTTGTTGTGGCCTTTGCCCCCTGCACCAATGGCTGTGCTGAGGCTCTGCCCAGGCTCCAGGGTGCTGACGCCCGCATTGAACTGCGAGCCCAGACGCGTGCCAGGCGTCTGCAGCGACCGGTAAGTTCCCTCAATCTCGCCCATTGCTGCTCACGCCGCAGCCCACCCTCAACACACACACACACTCTCCTGCCTGTAAAGAGAACAAAGAATAGATATAACAAAAAAAAGCCCTACCAAGTTATATAGTCATTAGATTTAATGTTGTCAATTTATGATGTTTTGTAAGGCATTGTATAAAGCATTTTATCTGCTCTAATACACATGCAACTCATCAGGTCATATGTATTTATCCTCTGCATACTACTCATTTTCAGTATACTTCTTTTTTGAGACTTTTTTGGGGTACTGGAGCAAAAAAACTTGTGCAGGACAGGGGGGTTATAGTAGCAGGAATTGGGAAACAGCTTTTTTATTTCTCTATGTGCTATGCATGCCGTACTGGTGGGTGCCTCAGCGCAACTGTTAGGTCCATCAAAGGCCTGACATAGCCTAGCAGAAACACTGCTCACCCTCTGCTGAAAAGTCATCAATCATTCTAGGTGACGCACCAGGAAGAAATGGATCCACCCCCAAAACAAACTGTGACTGTACTATCAGCCTGTGCTGTTTTACTGCCATGGTAAACCACTCCAAGAGAATATTTCCTTATGCTGCATTTAAAAAGGGCCCATATCATGAAAAAAGGAATTTTCCTCACTCTTTTTTTTTTTTAAATGTGTTTCACACAAGTATATAAACTCTAAAGTTTTAGAAACATTTCTTTCACTATCCAGTCCAAATGGTCCATATATGGAAACTAAGCTGCAAAAACAGCCAGCTTTGAATGATGTCACAAAAACCTCTACATTTAAATCTGCATGTTCAGCTCACAGCAGGTTAGCTCCACTCATTCATACTGAAGTTAAAAGGAGCGTTTTAGCCTGGACCGTTTTTTGAATGACTCGCAATACAGGGCAGCCAATCAGAATAGTGGTCATTTACATATATCAGCCCTAAAGATACAGTTACAAAAAATCTGTTACAAGAAATACAAGAAAAATGTAGGATATGGGTCCTTTTAACCGCGAGACCACAGTTCTGTATCTACAACAAACACAAAGTGTTAACTTCATACATAGAAATTCACATAAACATACATTTCCATAATGGTCTGCCTGCAGAATTAGAAATCTTGACTCATTCTGGTTGAGTCAATCTACAAAAAGATAATTTTGTTTCCTTTCAGTTTCTGCACATGCAAGCGAAATTTTAGGCACCTATGCAGACCACTACCCTTGCATCTCAATCTACACACAAAATATCATGCCAGTGTTTCTAGTGCCAACTCTGACATTCTGTCATTTTAACACAAGTTAAACGCATTATGGAAACAAGAAATAGCTATAATTCAGCAAGCTCTCAGCACATTAAGTTCACAGGACTGAAATGGATTGTGTTCTATTCTAGACGTGGCCCTAATGATTTCCATCACAACATTTTTGTGGTAAGCATTTGGCACGCTGATGCCTATCCCAAACCCAGAGCTTCAAACTCATCAGCTCAAGCAGTACACACTATGGGCCGCAGAAAAGTAACTGGATTTAGTCAACAGGGCTGTGATCCTTTAAATGGTGATGTGGCCTTAGGCCTGGGCGTTTTAAAGGGACTGATGTTTCCTTACATGTCTTCAAAGTTTTACTTTTGGCCAACAAAACAGCCACTTACTTTTTAGACATTTAGTGTGCACCATATGCAGCATCCTATAAATGATGCACGCCTCCATTGATCTGAACGAAAGACAATTCTGCGTCGGGGCATTCCGACCTAAATCTAACGTTTAATATGTTATTTGTTATACTATGCAGTACACAGCATAACATATACAGTTGCAAGTGTCAGAAGTTAAATTCTTTTTCAATACTGCAATTATAAATATCTCAAAGATGGCTTTTCTGTTCTACCCAGAATCATTTTGTTAAGAGTGTAGCATAATTTTGATGTTGCATTTTGCCAGTATTTGAAAAAAGAATTGTAAAAAGAAACCAATAATTATTTGGTTTTCAGACAGAGATGAGTGCTTTTAACTTAGGATCATGACAACCCTACCACGTAGAATTCTGTAGCGCAGCATTATATCCCTCAGGTTTGACAGTATTTACAATTTTTTAATCCATTTTCTGGATTCAGCCGTCAATGTTCTCTCACTACAATACCCAGCATGCATTTCAACCACTACATAGGGCAATAAAGAAATGCACTTATGTAGAGGTTAATAAATCCACATGATATCCAGCCTCCTAGAAGTAATATCACCTAGCGGGGAAAAAAATTATAAGCAATTCAAGCAGCCCACCCTCACGTATCCACCTCAAAGAACGTGCAGTTTTTTAGAAGTCGCTCCTACCTTCAATATGCATCATCTGAAGGTGATTTTCCTACTCTTTAAACCATAAAGTCTCCCTTTAAGGCCACTGTGTCAGCACTGTAGGAGGCAAGTAGGTATATTTTTACAAAAAGATGAAGCGCCTGATTACATTTTAAATTTTGACCAGAGGGCTCCTTTAACATTTTTTAAGAATGCATGAATTATGCTTTTAACAACGTTTCACCATCATGTCTGTTTTTGTTTTTTGTTTGTGCCATGCCCAAAATAACATTCTGTAAGCGAATGGAGAAAAGGTGAGTTTTTTAAGACTCAAACAGAGAAAGGCAGATCATTCAGTCTCCAAAAGAGAAAAGGTGATCAGACTGAGACAAATGCTTACAAGAAGATGCAGCCTGCGTTAATAATACAACAATAATGGTGGTCGTTACAAAGTCCTGCTGTAATCTTAAATGTACTTTAAACAGGCACCAATGTGGTCTAGTAGCAACCTTGCACTCGAGAGTCAAACAAGGGCGAACATATGAATCCATGATTATGCTTATTCACATAAGTAAATGCCTGGCATGAAGTAAATGTTCATGTTAAGATAAATTCTAAAGTTAATATATACAAGCACTTTAAATATTTAAAAGATAATTAGAGTAATAATTAAAAGTGAAAGCTATTTATTAATTTGCAATCCAGTCCACCCCAAAGACCACTGACCGGCTTTAGCGTGAGGAAAAACTTCAGCAACCCAGTAACCTACTGAGAACAGAAATCAGATTTACTCTCCCTCACACTTCTCTGTCTCTCTCTCTCTCTCTCTCTCTCACACACACACACACACACACACACACACACACACACACACAAATACCGAGCAACAGTCACCTCTCTGTTCCCGAACTACTTCAATAAGTCACTCTAATCATAAAATCTCTCAGTGAACAAACACGCTCCTCCATGAGCTCCGCAGAGCCCACAGATCTTTAAAGCTGATGTGTTTCACAGCAAAGTAGAAAGTTGGAGACTTCGCTCCCTCCCACTAACACACGGTATTTGAAGCAGCAATAAAAGACCACGTTTATAACGACCTAAACTCGTCCAAGAAGTAGTTTCAAAGCAGAATTTAATGAATTAATTAGATTTTCCGGCAGTAAAGCAGCTCCTACCTCTCTCCCGTCCCTCTGTGCTTCTTCAACTCTTTCGCTCGACTGGAGCTGCAGGCGAGACGCACACAAAGGCGCGCTCTGATTGGAGGATGGAGGAGAAAGCTCTCCTCCTATTGGACCACAGTCTCATAAAAGCAGTCTTTCACTAGTGGTCGAGTGGCCATCCACCTCTGGATTTTGATTGGCTAAGAAACATTCAAATCAGTGCAGTCATTGGTTATCACGAGCGACTGTTTTTGTGCTCCATTCAAGTTTCTGAGGGCCAAAATCTCCCACAATGGATTATGAATAACCTGATACGTAAAATATTAAACCAACTAAATAAATAAAATACCTTTTTCGAGGTCACATCGTTTTCCTTTCAAAAACGTGCACTAGACTATAAAGACGATGTTGATGAGAAATAAATGAAGAAATAAATAAAGAAATAAATACTTTATATTGCTTTATACTTAATATATTGCCACCACTGTAGAGGTTTCTCTTCGGTTAATCATTTCACATGAGACCACCCTCAATGACTTTGTTTACATTTCAACTACTGAATTATAAAAATATTTTAAAAAGTTGGTGGGGTTCCCCTTTAAGGGAAGTGTACCTCAGGCCTTACTTACTATAGGACACTCTGTTATTAAATAGGCGCAACGTACCTCTGCTGTAGGGAACCAAATATAGATCCACACAGACCTCAAACTTCAGACAGACATTCAAATGAGTAAAAGTAGGATGGGAACTATCATGGAGTCCAGCAGAGTTGCAAGATACCTTCAGCCATTGTGGACTGTGAGACAAGGGAGCTGACTTTACTCCGCATACCTAAATGAAACCATTAGCGTCTTATGTGTCATCCTTAAAGAATGCTGCCTAATTGTCTGATCTGACTCAGATGATTGCGGGTGAAAAGTCCCTCTTCCGAAGAACAGTCGATAACAAAACAAGGAAGAGTTCCACAACATATCAACCACGTCATAAGACAACAAAGACGTGTTTCAAAAGCTGTTTTATTAAAAAAAAATATAAGTACAATTGTTTCATGAGACCAGCACAAGTTTTCAGTTGAAAAATGCAGAACATTCAATACTCCATACCACAAGTGTTTACTTTGGCTTTACAAAGAAACCAGTATCCACAAAAAAGATGAACAGCTCCAAGGATTTTTACAACTGACTAAAAGTTGGAAATGAAAATCCACCAGTATGCATTAGTAGTGCAGTAATTAGAGAAGTGTTGGAACACTATGGAACTTTCCTCAGAGAGTATCATTCTTACAGAGACCACAATTAATGATTCACTGATGTCATCAGGAAATAATTTCACAGTTCATATCTCTGTACATCTTACATAGCAGTCACAGTTTTGGCTTCCATGGTTCTTAACAATGAGGTTAAAAATGATAAAAAAAAAAAAAGTTGCTGCAGTGAGTGTCTCTTATTTGAAGCAAAATGTGGTCCGGTAGTCTTTGGGAGGACTGTAACGCTTTATCAAACGAGTGGCTGCTTGTAGGACTCTGTAGCGCTCACGAAGGTGCCGTCTCTGTACATGCTCAGTAGATATTTCCTCCACACATGCAGCGGGGAACCGCCCCCTGTCCCCATCGTGAAGCCTCTGGCCCTCCATATAACCTGACACAGGGAGGAGAAGAGTATAAAGAATATGTATTGCATTATTTATTCAACCTACAGCTTTGATGCTCACAAATCATGTATGGATTTGAACCTACTGCATGTCAATAATTTACTGTTTAACATACATGGTTGTGCTTTTCCAGTGCTGTCTGTGTGCATGTTTCTTAGTACAGAGAATTCTGTGTTGCTGGATTTAGTAATGTAAATGTTCTTCACCAATGAAATGCTTTTCCTAGAACCAAAGGCCAAGCTAAGAACAATTTAGGACCCTAAAAAAAAGAGTACATCTGGCTGTGACTTGGCTATGTAATGATTCTGGTTTGGCCTTAGTATGGCACACATGTGGACCTTCCATGGGATGTCATTTGTTGCTCTATATAGCATGAATTAAATTGGATTATGTAGGCAGATGTAATTTGTTACATCTCCGTATCCATTCAAGTGTATTTGAGATGTAAATAGGTTGTTTATGAAAGTGGCCCAATCATGGGTTAACAAATTTCTGAGTGCAAGTATGTGGGTATTGATGTATGACCCTTTAGAACTAGTCATATCATTGCTGTTCAAAAATAAACAAAATAAAAATGTGTATTTGCAAAATGCAAACTATACAGGAGAAGTCAAACAGCTATTGTGCACTAAAGTGTGCAGAAGTGTGTTCTCTGTAGAGGATGTGTTAACTTATTTTCACTTAGAAAATCGACCTAAACGTTTTTGTCTTTTGCATTTGTGGGCAACAAGACATGGGAATTTACCATCAGTTGTTTTCTGGATGATGTTGATTATGTCTCCCCTCTGTAGACTGAGCTCTCCTGGCTGTTGTGCATGGTACACCTCAACACAGCACACCTGAGGGCAGTCTGAAACGAATATAGCACATTATTTGCCTGCCCGCAATTCAATGTAGTTGATACAGTCAATGGAAAAGGCAGTGTTGTGTAAAATATGAACAATCCCACCCTCTAGTGGACATTTTAGAGCATGACAGTACTTAGGACATGAACAAGCCTTTGGCACAACAGAATGGAATGAGAATGCTGTTTAAAGACATGGAGGCAGATGTTATGATACAGATTAGCTATATTAAATGCTTTCAGAATTAACACTGCACCCTAGTGGAGCAATTCTGACTTCAGGCACTTACCCCACTCTTCATACACTCCTTCCTCCTCACCCCTCTGGCCTCTGAGCATGTCAAGCCAGCTGTTTCTCTCTGTTCTGAGCATATAAACAAAGCTGGATGACCCACTGAACATTTACAGTAATGCACAAATGTGTATATATATTTTCATTCATTCATTTATTAGTTTATATAGACAATAGGTAATACAAAACTATAACTATACACAATCTGTAAACTATATGTCCAGGGTATTTACCACAATATACATCAGGTGGGATAAAGATATGTAAGTAACAGATGCTACATGTGTGAAGATGGACATGGCAAATGTGCCATGCGAGACACAATATACAATTATCTTTATTTTAATTAAGGTTTTCTTTTTAATCTTCTACTGAATTTGCTTTGTGTCTTGGCTGTATTTTTGCTAGATTGTCAAAAAGGTCTTTAAAGAAGGCTGAATTGAATTTACTCACTGTGTTGATGCCTGTAGTAAGTAATGGGACACAGCTCCCCTGTGGTTCTTTACGACAGCGAGCTGAAAAACTCTGCTCAGGTCACATCCATCCAGGTCCTCATCCACCTCAGTGCCCTCAGTGACTTCAACCAGAGAACGGTGAACATGATCGTGCACTATGTACCTGTCTGACCTGGGACACACATCATCATCTTGAAATAAATATATTGACTACTGATATTTAAAGATTTTTCTGAAATTGAAACTTTAAAACTGAAATTGTAAAAAGATTTTATTCCAAGTAATTTTGCACCATTTCTATTGGTCGATTTAATATGAAGTGTCTGTAAAGGCCAATTGGTGGTGTCTTTATGATGTGCGCAAGACGTACAAGGCTCTATTGGGAAGCAATAACTATCATTTTATAACGTTATTCCTTGATATTTTGCAACATAAGAATCTTACAAACATGGTTTTCAATGTTGTGTCTTTGTTAAACTTCATTCTTACCCTTTCCTTGTGGCCACCAGCAGAAGATCATTGAAGAGAAACAGATGGACAGGGTAGAGTTTCTTCTGGCCAAAAATGTTCTCCTTCTGAGAGAGCTGAGCCAAGTCCCCATTTTTGACCAGCCAGCGAGAAGATGACACAAGAGGTAGGGCCTGACAGAGATAGAGAGAGAGAGAGAGAGAGAGAGAGATGGGGGGAGGGGATTATTTCACCCAAAGATTCATTTAGCATGTCCATTTAACAAACATGAATAGTCAAAAACCAAGGTCACCTTGCACTCAAACTCTGTTTTATTGGCAATAAGCACCAGTTCCTCCAACTGCTTCATCTTGCCCACTTCCCTATTGCACGCTTCCACCACCTACAGAGGCACATGGCACGTTTTATCAAGTAGACCAAATTGCTCTGATAATGCATGGAGTTACATTTGTTCGTGTGTTATCAACAGCACTCACACACACTGACCAGCCAATAGAGCAGGACTTGACTCAGACACAAGACAGCGGTGTAGTTACCTTGGAGATTTCCCTCAGAGCTCTCTCTGCAGAGGCCTGAACATCTGACCCTGGAGCCGTCCTCTTTAGAACTGTCTGCAGTGGGCGAAACATATGGAGTTAATTTTGGGCCAAAAGTTTCAATTAAATAATAATATCCAAAAACAAAATATTAAGTATCAAAATGTCAGAAATATGTTACAAACACAAATAATTAAAATTAATTCAAATTTATTTTTTCAAAAAATTTACTACTCATTGCACTCATTCTGATACAAATTCATTACTCATTTTGTCAGTCTTCGCTTTATTTTTTTCTATTTGCTGATATATTTTTTGCTTCTGTAGTGGCTGTTTTTCTTTTAACTTGTTGGCTCATTTTCACAGGAGGCAGGTCGTAGAAGAGAGCGTTCATCCACACTCTCTATTGGTTAACTGACTTGGAGTGACAGCTCTTCTGAATACGTAGCCGATCTGCCTCGAAAATGGCGGAGCACTTCTTACTGAGTGTAGTACTACCTGGGAGGATTGTGTTCACATGTCCAACATTGTTAGCAACAGTGTTGGGGTAGTTACTCAAAAAAGTAATCCATTACCAATTACTCATTACTTAACTCAAACTGTAATGGGATTACTTTACTCATTACTTTCTGGAAAATGGAATCTCAAACCTCATTACTTTACTTTTAAGTTACATTCTAAAACCCACACAAAACACAATGGAATCAAATCTACAAATATATCTGGAAAGTACAAAATGATAGACAATAGTTATTACCATAGCTTGTTTAGGAACAAAATGTACCAGTGAC